TCGAACATGGGGAACTTGGGCGAGTCCAGCAGGTCCTCGGGTCGGGGGATGGCCTCGGCCACGACCTCCACAGGGGCCTTTGCTGCCCGCCTGGTCACGGCCGCACCGACGGCAAGCAGAGCACCACCCATGGAGCAGGCGGTCCACAGCCCGGTGCTGCTCGCGGAGGATGCGGAGGTGCCGAAGTCCACCTGCGGCTGCGTGCGTGCGGCCCGGAGCCGGCCTTGTCCGCTGGGGGCCACGAAGGCACAGGTGCCCAGGAGGCCGGCGAGGCCGCCGAGGACTGCGAGGCTCCGAGTTCCAGACATCATGGGAAGAGGAAGGAACCCCAGGCGACTTTGAGCAATGCTTGCCGGACTGTACTCGCAGGTTCAGGTTATTAAAACAAGGAGGCACATGCAAAGAAGTAGGCTTACAAGTAGATGCAGCTGTAGCTTCCTCACTTTTAACTCTTAGTCGAACTTACCAATCTCCCTGGTCTTCAAGGACCAGAATCGTAGCGCTGCTGGCGCAAAACCCCACAGACAGAACGGTTGAGGATACAGCGCTCTTCAACTAAATGGCGCTAGGCTCTTTTGGCATGCATGCGGTATTGCTGCTTCGGGTCTGCGGATAAGGGTGCATATGACTATACTTATTTGTGATGGTGAGGACCAAACGGAGAAGAAAACCTGCAGTTGCCAAAGCAACCTTTGCTCTGGCCCCTGTGGTCTGAACATTCACGATTCCTCTAGCGACTGCCGCAACTAGTGTCCGTAAGATGAAATGGCGGTGAGAGCACCGGCGGCGGCGGTGGTTGTGTTTGTGCTGCCAGTAGCAGTCGCACTCGCAGCAGCCGAAGCAGCAGTAGCACCAAAAGAAAGATCATGAAGAATATGATGGTGATGATGCGGACGGTGAGGACAATTGTGGCGGTAGTGGTGGTCGTGGTGGTGGTGGTGGTGGTGGTGGTGCTGCTGCTGCTGTTGTTGTTGTTGCTGCTGCTGTTCTTCTTGTTGTTGGTGATGAAGACGGTGATGACGGTGGTGGTGATTGGTGTTGGCAATAACCTGACGATGATTGCATTGTGTTTTGTGTTTGTCAGGTTAGTGCTTTTTTGCTCATAGCAGTAAGCAAAACAGAGCCACTCCCCGCATTTTAGGCACCACTCCCCGCTGCAAGCGGAACCCAAAAATGTGGCCGATGTCAATGTGCCTGCGACAGGGGCATGTTTTGGGGTTTAGGGTTTGGGGTGGAGGGGTTTAGGGTGTGATTGAGCTGCTTGGGTTTGCGGCTTAGGGTTTTCAGGGGGTCATTCATTCGACCCCTATATGAAGGATCTCATAAGCAAGGGTTGCTGCATGAAAACTGACGGTTTAGGGTTTAGGGTTTAGGGGGCTGTTCCAAAAAAGCAAGCAGGCTAACCCCCATATCCCTAAACTCACTCTACACCCTACACCCTACGACCTGATCCCTGCGGTTGATGAAATAAACCTTGCATTGCCCGTAATATGGAATATACCATAATTCCCATAGTTCAGGGTCCTTTAGGTAATGCAGGATTAAAATCATCAACAGTATGAAGGCAAAACTAAACCCTAAACCCTATATCCTAAAGCCTATACCCTAAAGATTATACATTAAACCCTATACCCTGATATATATCATCAACCGTATCGCCCACCCTAAACCCTAAAACTTCTGCTGCTATCTTCGGCCCTTGGGTTTAGGGCTTTCTGCAGTATCTTGTACTCGTCTCTTACAAGGTTTAGGGTTTAGGGTTTAGGGACTATGAAGACTACTACTAACCATTTTGACCTGCGGGTTCTATGAGGGCTGACAAGATTTGTCTAAGGGACCCCGAACCCCTGCTACAGCGTCGTCACACCTACAGACACACCAGGAAGTTTCCGAAAACACTAGGCAGAGTAGGGTTGATAATGCAGCATAGAAAAACACTACTCAATACTTGGGACTATAGCACAGAGTTCTACTAATAATAAAGAAACCTGGACTACAGCCTCGTGAAGGCCGAACAAAATTCCGAACCCCGCTTATGACCATCAACAAGTAGGGCTCCATACGGGTAGTTCTCTAAATTAGGGTCCCTTTTAGGGTCCTTTTTATAAGGGTGCCGTACTATTTTGGGGACCTAAAAAGGGACCCTAATTTAGAGAATTCTCCATATTCCTCCAAAGGCCCGGAACCATCTCTAGGCCGCTGGCAACAACCCGTGAGAAGATCGCATACCCCGGCAAAGTCTAGATCCAACCCCCAAAGCGCCCCGGACCATCTCCCTAAACCTAAACCCTGAGACCTGCGTACCAAACCCCGTCAAGCCTAAACCCTAAACCCCAATCCCTTAAACCCTAAACCCTACATGCTTATCCCTTCAACCCTAAACCCTAATCCCTTAAACCCTAATCCCTTAAACCCTAAACCTTAAACCCTAAAAGCTGCACCCTAAACCTTACATCCCCCTCATCCCGAGGCCTCCTAGAACCCTTACAGTAAGCCTAATAAGAACCCTTTCAAGGAACCCGTATAGGTTTTGGGTTTTGGGTTTAGGGTTTAGGGTTTAGGGTTTAGGGTTTAGGGTATAGGAACCAAGACACCCTGAACCCTAAAACCTTTACCCCCTAAAACCTTCACCCACTTCACTTCTCTCCAGAAACGGTAGAGGTAATTACTTCTAGGCTTCTACATCAAAACCAAACCCCTCGCAGAAGCCGCATATTTTTTTGAGAAACACCTGGAGATCACGTGCGGTCCCCTTGATACTTCTTTATCAAGCCGTAAGACCCCTGAAACCCTAACCCATAAGCCCAAACCCAGACCCCCAAGAGGATCCAAAAAGTAGATCCCTTAATGGGGGTTCCTATAAAGAACCTTTAGTAGTATAGGGTCCCAACTTGGGGGTTCTACTTTCTAGATCCGCCCGAAGGTCTGGGAACCGACCTTTCATAGTAGCCCTTCTGAGAATGCTTTCAAGGAACCCCTTTTTAAAGGAAACTACAGGTGGGGAGTTTGGGGTATAGAGGGCTTCTATAAGGCTTCTATATGGTATATAGTCTTTCTATAAGGCTCCTATAACAGTAACTACCCACCTGCAAATGTCCTAGACCTTTCAAGGAACCCCTATAACCCTAAACCCTAAACCTAAACATGTCTAAACCGAAACCCACAAACCCCATAAATCTCTGAAGGCCTAAACCCTAAACCCTAAAAGCCGATGACCCTGATTGCGATCCTAGGGAATGACATTGGTATTTATCCGGGCTTTGATACAAACCCTGAACCCCTAAACCCTAAACCCCTTAACCCTAAACCCCTAAACCCCTAAGCCCCTAAACCCCTTAACCCTAAACCCTTAACCCCTAAACCCCTGAACGCCTTAACCCTGAAGCCCTAAACCCCTAAACCCCTAACCCCCTTAACCCTAAACCCCTAAACCCCTAAGCCCCTAAACCCCTAAACCCCTAAACGCCTAAACCCTAAACTCTAAACCCCTTAACCCTAAACCCTAAACCCCTAAACCCCTAAACCCCTTAACCATAACCCCTGAACCCCTAAACCCCTAAACCCTATACCCGTAAACCCTAAACCCCTAAAGCTCTTAACCCTCTAAGCCCTAAACCCCTTAACCCTCACATCGCCGGGCCTTCTTAGAGGCTCTTGGCCGCCTTCGCCGCGCGGTCGTCCTGGACGCGCTTCAGCGCCTCGCCACGAAGCTCGGTTTAGGGTTTAGGGTTTAGGGTTTAGGGCTTAGGGGCTTAAGGTTTAGGGTTTAGGGTTTAGGGTTCCGGGTGTCTTTTGAAGCTTAGGAGCTTCAAAGGGTTTAGGGTTTGGGGGCTTTGGAGGCTTTAATGGTGGTTTGAGGCGGGGGAGCTTCAACGGGGTTAGGAGCTTTAGAGGGTTTAGGGTTTAGGGGCTTGAAAGGGTTTAGGGTTTAGGGGCTTGAAATTGGTTTAGGGTTTAGGGGCTTCTAAGGGTTTAGGGTTTAGGGGCTTGAAAGAGTTTAGGGATTAGGGGCTTGAGGGGGTTTAGGGTTTAGGGGCTTCTAAGGGTTTAGGGTTTAGGGGCTTTGGAGGCTTTAAGGTAGGGGCCTAAAACAATTAGAATAGGGATTTCCGGGGTATAGTATACTAAAACCAGAACTATAATAAGGAACCCTAAAGAAGTATCGGTAATCAATCAGGCCCCTATATCAGGGGCTTTTGAGGGTCTATTGTTTAGGGATTTTAGGGCGCAGGGGCTTTTGAGGGACACAGGGGGTTCAGGGCTTCGGGGCTTTAGAGGGTTTCGTCGGCTTTTTTGGGAGTTCTTAGCGTGTCTGCACGCAGTCTGTTAGAGGGGATTTGAAAGGATTTTGGAAGGGCCTTTGGGTTTTTACAAGGAACCTTAAAGACCAACCCTTAAACCCTAAATCCCTAAACCCTAAACCCCCTTAAAGCCCAACCCTTAAACCCTAAATCCCTAAACCCCTAAATTTCATAGTGTTTCGTTACAAGGGTTTTGGTGTTCAAGAAAGGTTTACAGGACCTGCGGAGGGCCTTACGACCTTGCAGCTTGCACATCTATTACATTCCGTATGTATACCCTAAACACTGTAAACTAAACCCTAGCCCCAAAACTCATTGTGTACGTATGCATGTACGCGTTTTTGTACGTATGTAAATATGTATGTATGTAAATGTGTATGTAAGTATGTAAATAATCAGTAAGTAAGTATGTAATGTATGTACGTATGTATGTATGTATGTATGTATGTATGTATGTATGTATGTATAAGGATGTGGATGTGGATGTGGATGTGGATGTGGATGTACATGTATGTGTAGGCGTGTGTATGTCTCTCTGTCTGCATATACACATCTATATATATATATATTTATGTTTGTGATGAGAGTTCCACTGTTTGTGGATTGACATTGGGCATATGCCCTATGAGCAGGAACTCCACGTAGCACGTCTTGCCCGACGACTGAATCAAGGTCCTGTCTGCAAGCATGGCCCAGGCGGAAGAGTTCAAAAGATTGATTCGCCAATTCATGAGGGAGTGGTGCCTCACGGGTGTCAGCCACTTCTTATCTCCTTTGCAACAATTCTTGATCTTATCACGAGTGGCCGTCTCAATGGATGGGTAACCCTAAACCCTAAACCCTAAACCCTAATTATGTCACCCTCGCCCAGGCTGTCTGGCCACGCCAGACGGCCCCAATTGATGGGTGGCCGCGGTCGTTCTGGCTTCTGAGACTCGGTCAATCATCGAGGGTTTGGGGTTTAGGGATTTAGGGCTTAAACCCCTCGGAAAGTCGGCATGGCCATCCAC